CATGGGTAATAAATAAAACTTGCAAAATAATACGATTTTAATCTACTTATTCCTCCTTCATTACAAGCATGTTATAAATAAACAAGTATCTAACCATTGAACATGTTTTCTCAGGAATTTAATTCAAAAAGCCTTTGAAAACTTTTAGAAAAGTAAATTCCTAAAAAAGTCAAATTGATTTTGTCTGTATAGTAGGTACCACCAGTATTTGGAAAAAATGATATCTTCATCTTTTTAGCTTTTCCTTCGTAAATAATGTGAAAAAATGATAACTCAATCAGAGAATTGAAATATTGATCGTGAAATATATTTTCATTATAAGAATTTGAATTTATTATTTGAATTTATGATATGAATTTTCAGATATTTGTATAACCAAATATGACAATATAATTTGAATAATTTCATTACGGTTGTAATGTGATATCATCAGCAAAAAAAATATCATAGTTTTCCAAAGAATGAATGAAGTGGAATACCAAGTTTCATATCACTTAATGGTGAGAATGTATCATTGTGACGTATAACTTGTGACCTGTCACATAATTATTAATTATTATACTTCACAATATATTACGATCTGAAAATGAGAAGAATGACTCTCACATGTTTTTTCATTACTGATTTGGTGATTTTTTTAAATAACTTATGAAATTTCAACTACTTACTAGTGAATAAAATATGATTTCAATATAACTTTTGATTTTTGTGAACGTCAAAGAGACACCTTTTCGAACTTGCAGTATTCATTGTAATGATTTATTCTAAATTCTTCATATCCCAGGAATTCCTAGAAAAAGTACACGAAGAAGAATCGAAAAAGTTCAAAATTGTTGACACAATGTTGAGATCCTTATACAAAGATCAAAGACTTGAACTTCTGGTGGAAGAAATAAAAACACAGCTAGATACAAATTGTCACTCAGTCAAATATACAATAACTGATGAGCAATCGGAAGAGTCAGGAATCAATGAAAAAAGTAAGTGAAAGACATTTATACCAATTTCGGTATCTTAATAAAAATACTAATTGAAATGATGTTACTAAAATTGAAAATAAAAAAAATTAACCCTCTCAAAAATTAATAAGCACGCCCTCGATTTGCTGTCAACTGGGCTTACTTCTACTCTCAATCATTATTGGTTTTAGTATATACGTGGTAAAGGAAATTTGTCGATTTCTAGATCTGGATTTAATGTTATTTTGTAATCACCGCATAACCTAATGGATCCATTTGGTTTTATTATCGGAACTATTGGTGTTCCATATTCACTTTATTCTACCGGTGATAAAATTTGTGTTTCAACTAGTCTGTCAATTTCAGCCTGAACTTTTTCTTTTAGTGCGAATGGCAGCGTACGTGCTTTGAAAAATTTCGGCTGAGCCCCATTTCTCAAAGTTAAGCTAATACAACCCTTATTGAAACAACCTAGCTCTGAATTCAGAACGGACGGAAATTCTTTTTGAAAATACTCTGCATGATCTGTTTCTAAATTATTAACTGACAATTGAAATTTCCTGAAAATTCTCTACATAACAATGGGGGCCCTCCTTTATCTACAACGTATAAATATAAATTGTCATTCATGTTTTTATAGATAATATTTACAAGTATTTTTCCCAAAGGGTTAATAATTTTTCTATCATAAGATCTTAATACTTAATAAATGTCATTTATAATAACATCTACCACAATAGGTTCAAAATTCTTCAAATTCTGATTGTGATTATACAAATCAAAAACTTCATCTGATGATTTTAAATAATTATTTCTATTATTTCTAAATCCATGTATGCTACTTTTAAACTTAGGACATTTTACTGCAATATGACCCTTAACACCACATTTTCGACAAAAACAATTTCTGTACCTGCATGGTGGTGGATGTACTTTACCACACACTTCACATGATGTTCTTCCTGTTCCTGCTGTCGTCGGGACGGACGTCTTGCCTAAGTTGCTCCTACCTCGCTGCGGAGGACGGCTACTGCTTTCCAACCTCGTTTCTTCTGTTGTACCTGAATACTTCCTACTCCCTAGGTGATAAACTTCCTGCTCTGGGCGGGGTTCACTTCTAGTGATTACTTCTTGACTTCTTCGACTACTAGCTTCCTTGTTTGAAGCTATTTCGATGGCTTTCTCGAATGTGAAATTTTCACTTTTTTCTTCAAAAAGCTTAACATCCTTTTTGTAATTCACATATGAATCTATCCCGCATAACAACTGAGAGTTCTTCTTTGAAATCGCATTTTCCTGCTAACTGTCTTATTCGTCCTTCCCATTCTGGTACCGTTTCATCTTTATTTTTCGAAGCGGAATGAAATATTTCTCGATCTGGAAAAACTAACTTAGCTGGTGTGAAATGCTTGTCAAATAGCGCTATCAATTTTTTGAATGGTTTCTCTGACGGTTTGTTCGGCAAACATAAACTATTTATTAGCTGAAATGCCGTTTCGTTGCACATATTAAACAATAGCCCACGTTGTCTTTCTTCCTCCTTTATTCCGTTTATTGACAAATATTGTTCTAATCGTCCTTTATAGATTCTCCAATCAGATTCACTTGGATTGAAAACCCTTAAACAGCCTATATACGACATCGCCATTTTTTGTGTAAACAGACGTCTTGTTCAATGAGTTTCTGTTTAACCAATTATGTGATTCCGATCAGTTTATTATTATACACCTCGTCGTCACTGTGGCGTAGGACAGTCAAGGACAGTCGGCTCCTACCAAGCAACGTCTAAATTAGTAGCAAATTACCAAAAACGACTCTTCTCGATAAGAAGACTCAGCAGATTGTCTCTGGTCTGGGTTCCTGGCCATATTAGCCTGGAAAACAATAATGTTGCTGACATCCTTGCGAAGGAAGGTGCTGCAAGCATCTTCATAGGACCAGAACCTGTCATTAGCATCGCTGCGCAAACGCTGGATAGTAAGAAGATTTATTGATTTCTGGCAGAATTTTCCAGGAATACCTCACTCCAAGGCATTTATTTACCCTTCGAAGCTTGATACCAAACAGTTGTTGGACTACAGTAGAGATGAACTACGATGTCTAAAAGGCCTTCTTACAGGTCACTGTCATTTGAATCATCATATAAAGAGTTTCGGACTGTCGGATGATAATGTGTGTCGCCTCTGTTTGGAAAATGTTGAAACAGCAGTGAACATACTTTGTGCCTGCCCCGCTGGGGACCGAATCAGGTTTTCAGAGTTTGGCAGAGCCGTACTCTTACCATCTCACCTGAGAGACCACTCACCATACAAAATCGGCTTCATTAAGAAGCTGGGTTTATTTGGTCGAATGTGAATAGGTGTGAGCCACAAGAAACCCATGCAAGTTGCGGTGGAGGGTCGAATATACTCAGTAACTTTAGACCTAACCTAACCTAAAACCGTATATTGTTGAGGAGAGTGGTGTAATCAGTGCTATCTAGGACCTTCTGAATTATTTTTTAGTTTTTAGTACATTATATTCATTATATAAAACCATTTTACATTAATTTTTTTGTTTACTTATTTTATCTGAAATTATCATAATTTGCAAATTGCAAATAAGTTATGGCGGTTCGGTTTTCGTCGATTATAATCGGTTTGAAGTAGTAGGGCATAATATTGACCATTTCAATGCGATGTGAAACGAATCCCATCCATAGTTGGTGTGCGAATTGATGAGTCTCGAATTTTCATTTTTTTCAATGCCTGAATATTTTCTGTATGATTTTTTATCTCCTGATATCGACAGAAATATGTTAGTTTTGCATTAATTCTGTTCCAGTGTGGTGAGGTGGATATTGTTCTTTTCCACAGTATAATATCTTTTTTTCGTGTAGTGTTCAGCGTTCGAAGGCGGCTAGACATTCGATCGTCTTATCAAATTAAATTTAAAACATTTACTTTCTTTGAGATAGTTTCGCTTCCTAAAAAATACTCGATTTTGAAGAGTTTTGTCACAGCATCCAGCATTATGGCCGAAAATATTCAATTTGTTCTTTATGATTTCAGTTGTAGGAATCTCATTGCTTTTGTTACAGTCGTATATTTTTTGTAAATGACAATATTAGGTACAGTGGAGACGGGAATTTGGTCAAATCTGATGTTGCTTGTAATAGTTTGTTTCCCTCGAAATCAAACTTGACATGTAGATTCTTATATACATTCAAACATACTCTCTGTGATTCAATATTCAAATGCATCCGAATCGTATTCACTGATATCTCTTTTTCGCATTGTTCACCATCGCTATTGGAATCACTACAGTGGAACAAGTTTGCATTGTTATCCAAGGACAAGCTTTCTAAGGACGTCACATTTTAAACAGGCAACAAAAATTTTAAGTAATTGCATAAAGAAACTATATTTGTATATAATACATTACTCTATAGGGAGTTCATATTGTAGTTACTTTTTTCTTTCTTTCTTTGGAAGTTTCTCACATGTTGTGTGATTATGGAGAAGAAGATAGCCAAAGAACTGTTTTTCCAAATATTCCCCACACTATGTTTTTTATAAGTCTACAAAAAATCTGCGTTGGCATATGTCTATCTTTTAAGAAGATACGTTGAAAAAATTGTCACGTATAATGTGGTACTTGTAAAGCTATTCAGACAGATACGATAATAATACTTATCAGTTAAATACGTTAGTCGCATCTTACGCCATACAATTTAAATCATTATCTTCGAAGTTATCGCAAAATTTAAAATATCTGGTAAAAAAAATTTAAAAAAAGATCGGAAAAAATGTCTTAGTCAGAAACTTTTTAGACCACCCTCGTGAATATATTTTAGATATTCGAAAAATCCATTATTATGGATCACACGTAGGTGTTGTGAAGACTTCTTTGAAGTATTCTCAATGGAAACTGACTGATGCAGTAAAACAATTTGCAACCAAATGACACGTTATTTGAATTTTGAAGAATACTCACAACATACCCCATAATGTTTTCGACATGCTGAAAATACCTGAACTCTTTTCTACTTTCTCCTCTACGGTTCATACCAAAGTTTTCAAAGAGTCGTTGGCTTTTCATTTCTAGTAAACTTCAGAAAGATTGATCTCACCTTGAAAAGCACTGGGATCTATTGGATCCGGATCACGAGTTTTTATCCTCGGATGCTTGATCACATTCTGATAAGATTCAATGAGAGTTTTTTTGTATTCATTTTTAACGTCTTCTGGAACTTCTCTGCTTGGTGGTTTATTGGCAATCTCGTTCAATCGGGCTTCATTGGCTCGAAACCATTTGAGCCGCAGCTTGGCTTCCTTCTCAATTGCATGAGCCCAACCTTTCTGAAGGCGAGCATCCAAACCTCGTTGAGTTGTTGGCATACTGACAATTCACATAAATTTTTATCGGAGTTTCAAAATTTGACGTCTGACGATACGAAAGTGACAACAACTATGTAAGGTTGGTGGCACGAAAATGAAGAAACCTATTTGGATCGATTTCCTGTACAATAAACAAGAAAAAATAAACTTTCATTTTCAAATGGTTTTATTCAGCTTGCCCTGTTTGTTTACTTATTTGTTTGGGTCCAATTTAGTAATTGAAGTTTGACCTCCTTTCTGTTGACGGATTGATCTGATATTTGGTATACACATTTAGTTTTAATGACAACACAATCAAATAAATTATGTATCATTGTAAATCCAAGATGGTCGCAGCTACATGGCTTGACTAGTAGGATAGTAGTATACTTTGAGAAAGATGCAAATTCAAGATCACGGCAGCTACAAAATGGCGGATTACATATTTTTCCACAACTACCTCGATATGGGTATCAAATAACAGATCTTGAGTAGTACCTATTATAGCTGTACACTATGAAAAAGATGCAAATCCAATATAATCTACATAAAAAAAAAGAACTTTGTCAACTCAGAATCGGGATACAAGCATTGATATTCCACCCAAGTCAAGATTTCGTATCGTGTCAAGGACTGTGTGGCTGAAAATGATACGTCGTTAGC